GCATGGACGTATGCACTCGGCTTCACTGTTGGCTTGCGGAGAGAGGGAGAGAGTCATTTCAAAGCATCTCGTGATTATGCGCGCGCGCACGCATGTGCCCGGTAGTGTGTGAAGAGAAATCACAGCTACCGCATAAGGGGTGCGCGTGAATAACCTCCCCCCCGGAGGAGGGGTATAGTGCGAGATGCGCTCTGACGTAACTTCTGTGTACGCAGGGTTTTAGCCTTTTTTCACACAATTTTTTCCTCCTCTCATTAATTCAAAGCCTCATGCCCCCTAGTCGGAGAGCGGCCCCAGGCTTTAGCTACTTAAGCTGAATGGTTTTGTTTTATATTCAAAATGATAGCAATTAAACAAACCAAACTTTAAACTTGAAGGCACAACAGCGAAACGAGGCATCAAATCATAACAACCTGTTGTTTAGAAACTTATCCAGTTGAAACTTGAGCCTTGAAGGGATGCATTTTTTACAGTTTACAACGATTAACTGAGGAGTAATATTGAAAACTACTTGGAAGATCAACGGAAGGTTTGAACGCTAAGTAGTCAAATGCTGTTCAAATCCGCCCGGAAGGCCGAAAAGGTTCAAAAAGTTGCAATCGGAAGGACTGAATAAAAATCCATTAAATCATCGATAGGACGTGTTTTGAACATTATTTTGTGCAACAAACCGTATAAATCTTTTATTAACTTGTAATGTCCGGCATGTTTCGAAATCGAAGCTTCCCAAGGAGACTGCTTGAAAGTTCATGGCTAGGACCATTCATGACAAATTTCTGAACCCAAATGACAGTTCCATTGTGGAGAACTATCGTCAAGAACCAAAAATCATTCGATAAATACCCAAAATAGGCGCTATTCCCCACCATGACAACGGCAAACCAAATGTCCTACAAAATTAAACGAATCAGACTGAGAAGCTTCACAGCAGCCATCATATTCAATAGACGCCTTGCCAAAAGATTAGCAGGTTTTAGGAATCCTCCAAAGTTCTTGTCGGAGAAATTCTTCATAAGCATACAACACGTGAAGATAACTTAAAAATCCAACTGTTTCAAAACACCAAATTCTATTGCGGGAACAGCAGACGCGCAAGGTGTAACCCTAATCATGTTATACGCGCGTGAAGTCACTAGTTGTACAAAAATGGTACGTTTACAACTGCACATGATGATTCCACTTGCTTGTATTAGTCACTGACCTGCATGTCCGCACGTGAACTTACGAAATATATTATCATTGCGACCTCCCAATCGGCAAAGTCAAGCGAAAGTTTGGTTGCCTTAGTCCAACGTAAGTCACACGATGTATAAACAGAAGAAACAAGTAGCAATTCACATGAAACTGTTTTGGAATACATACTCGAACTTTATTCTGCACATTGAACGCAATATGGAAGCATACGTATCCGAAAAGTTTTGCAAAAGGATTATTTTCCAAGGTAGTTCTACTTGTACTGCTTTATTCATTCGGTATTCTTACATGAAACGGTTTCCTCTACATTTAAAACTTGAGTTTACCTATTGCGGCCGATTTTCACTTTTTCGGAATTTTCTGTTTTGCTAAAATCGCTGGTATTTCTAAACAAAGTAATATCACTTGATAAATCGCAATATGCCCCATTTTGGAGTACGACCATTACTTTATTACCATAAGACTTTGGGAGCCACAGATTGGACTGCGTTTGCGTAGCAGGGAGTTTCTTGTAAAAATCATTAGTTAGCCCCCCTACTGTATTCTGCGCAAGCTGATTACTGTTCATGTAGATCAATGACGCCTGGAGTGGAAGAGTACCAGTGGGTGCGTTTATGTTCGCTGGTATGCGTGTCAATCAAGTTAGGGACGGTTTCGGGGCCCAGCGTAAGTCCTCGATATTCTCTTCTGGTCGACTAATAAAACAGAAAACAATATCAGCAACTTAGATCACAACATGCAATTTTTACTTTCGGAAGGGACAGCACATGCAATTATAGTTATTAGGGGGACAACATTCTCCAGTACGTCCTAATGACAGGACAGGATGTGACTGATCCATTTTGCCCTCCGGATCCAATGGGCATGTCAGGCTAAATGAAGAAGTGCACTCGAATTTAAACCGAAGCTCTTCTGACCTATATTTGGGTTAGGGTTGAGCTAGAACTGGCTGCCAAAGTCAGTATTGCACTTAATTAGGGCACTGAACCAAAGTTCTTACTGCTTCCTGCAACCAACTAGGATCGATTAACGCCACAGCCACATGCTCTTGAACATTTCTAATGCCGATCTACCAAGAAATATTCGATGGCTGAAGTGGTAAAGCAATTTGTTAAATGATTCACTGCATAAAAGCTCAAATCTGGGCGTTCTGTCTGTGGTTATCCGGCGACGCCACATAAGATAGAAATTAGCAGTTAGCCTTCCTTTGTCATAATCACTTAAGTTTCTGACTACCGCGAAGTTGCCTTTAAATCTACTGGACCCGCTAACAAATATTTTGTTGAGTACAATGGGTTCACATTTAGCGTTGCGCGATTTAAATTGGTTGTTGGTTGAATAAACGAGTGCAGCGCGAGTAATTGCTAG